AGTTGTGCCTGAGTCAGTAAGGATCTTCCACCCTTCCATCAGAAACAAGGTATATTAATTTCCAGGAAGGTCAAACTGAGGTATTAATCAACTGTATATTTCCTGCTGGACAATTTGTCAATCTGCTGCATCATATAAGGGAAAGAGCTTAGAGACCAGTCAGATAGTTTGGGCATCATTGCTTGTAGTCTTTAATTTCTTAGTCTTCAGTCAATAGTTTAGTAGTTGTTAAATCTGACATCTGATCTAGTACCAGATCATAACTACAATGGCATGATAATTTGGAACGTCAAGCCACTTGGCCCACTAACCCACATCAAGTAAGTCCTACAGACATAGTTGTACTGGTTTCACATCACACTTAAGTGTCATCCGTCTATGCTGTGGTTATGACTTCCCACAACAAGCTGGTTTGCCCAGCTTTTCTGCCTTCAATTGCTTGTTCAGCTGTAACTTCTTATGAGATGGAGAGAGCCAGGGTGATAGATCCCCCCCAGGGAATCTGTAGGGGATCCTGCTGTGCAGTAATCCCTGTAGTGATCTGCACTGCTACTGCTTCTTGCCTAAGAGATCTTGTAGGTCTGCAGGTCCTCAGGAGTGCTTGAGGCCATTCCTATTCATGGAAAATGTCTTCCCTCCTACAAGAAGGCTTAGTGCAGCCTGGAAAGGGAATGGAATGGAGCACCAGAGTGAACCTGAGGTTGCTGTGGCTGAGCACTTTTTTGCTGTTGAACTTGTAGCTTCATAGCAGTTTTTATCAAACTGCAGGTGTACAAATTGAACAAAAGCATAGTTTATTTCATTTTTTAGAGTGGTTGAAATGCAGTGAATCTGCAAGCATTATTCCTGTCTCTTGGAAAGCTCTTGCTCTGGATTAGTCAAGAAAGCCTAAAACAGGATATTAAGATGTTAAGCAGCTAGAGCATGGCACATTACCGGAAGGGAGGTCCTCTCGTGAATATACTAAGTTGCTTTTCCTGCTGGAGCAGGAAGATCCATCCAGTGACACAGTGATACTTCCAAGCCAAGAGGTGCTGGGCCTGGTGCAGCCATGTTGCGTTACCCTGCATCAGGCTTGCCAGTGCAGCTGGCTGAGGAGCTGTTCCTATCTGTCCTGTTGCTTTCCATCAGGTAGCAAATCTGGGATTTGTTCTCCTCTTGCTGCAGCTCAAATCCTAGGCTTGGAGTCTGTCTGTCCAATCTGTCTTGCACCAGTTTGTGCCTTTGAGGCATCTTCCATCCTGCTCTGGGGACAGTGGGAGAAAATAGGTGAATTAACTCTTAAGCCATTGCAACTGGATGGCTGGTAACCTTGCGATTATGTGTGTAGCTGAAGGGAGATTTTCTTAAGACACCTGGAGCCAATGCAAGACAGATAAGGGTCTGGGCAGGCACCTCCAAACAAATGGTTTTGGCTCTGGCAACTTAAGCACCACAGAAACTTTTACAGCGCTGAGGATGACTTGGTGAGATGTGTGTGCTGTCTCCTCTGTCACCTGGGGATCCAAGCAGATTGCAGCTGCAGTCAGCATTAAGCCAAGTACCAATGCAGAAGGACCTATGTGCCAGAGGCAATGACAGGGTGTTGTGGAAGGGTCTGCAGCACCTGATAACCCCCTCATTTACTTTTCTCCATCCCACATTTCACAGCCCACCTCACTCAGTACGGCTGTCCTTTGTTCAGCAACAAGTAGAGGTTAGTTTCTCCTGATTCAGTAGCTTAATTAAAGGTGTTAATGTGATTTTCACTCAGTCCTGTATAGTTCTTGCTCTTTGATTTATTTATTTTTTTTATACTTGCTCTTTAATAAGTTCTAGCTCCGTTACTGCTGATACCATTTTTAAATTCTTTTCAGTAAGATCTGGAGATAGGCTTTCACTGCAGCCTGCCCCTCTTCCACTGGGAAGCAGTGGACTGCCAGGCAGGGGTTTCCAGCAGCTGGAGATGAAGGGGAAGAGAGGAAGAAGTGTTAAATTCTACCCCAGGCTCTCCTCTTTATCCCTGCTTTCCCTTTTGTAGGCACATAATGGACAGTCAGTGGGCAGTTAAGAAATGCTCTCACCTGGCTCTGGCTTTTCACCTCCCGTTGCTAGGTAGATGCAGTGCCACACCCTTCCCCAGGCTCTTGGTAGTGCTGTGCAGAGCACTGCAGGCAAGCAGCATCCTAGGGAACACATCAGCAGGGAGTTGGGATCAGCTGGCAACAGGAGCAGGGCTGGACGTGGGCAAGGTCAAAAATGGCCTGACAGGGCAGGAACCACTGTGGCTGTGCAGCCCTTTCCCAGGCTGAAAAGATCTGGCAGATGCTGACTCTAGCAAAGTATTGATGGTTATGCTCAGTTAGGAGCACAAAGGTTAGAAATTTTTCCTGGTGCTGGCTCAGAAGGGCTGCAGACTTCCATGGCACCAGCCATCAGGCACCACTAGCACCAAAGGCCTGCTCGAGCTTCTGCGCATCCATCGCTGGAAGGTGATACTGGGTTGGTGACTTCGCATTGAGCTACCATAACTTACTAAATCAAGTGCTGCCATCTTCCTAAGCTCAAACAGAGCAACAGGAGTAAAGAACTGCTGATTTCCAACAGGTGAGGGCAACTGCTGCCTTGACGGAGTGTGGGACCATAATCCAGGTGTTAGCTATAATGTTGCACAGCCATTGTGTTCCTTCTCCTGAAATCCTGCTGCTTTTAACCCTGTGCAAAGCTCCGCTGGTGACCTTCACTAATGGGAAGTTTCAGGGTGGTGTCAGGATCAGCCTACTCTGCCCCACAGCAGTGGTTAGCAGCTGCTGCGTGTCCTCAGTGGGGATGTCCCACAGGCTGTAGGAAAACCATGAAGTGTGAGGGCTTTGGCCTTATTCAGTAGTGGTGCTCCACAGCAAATTTCTTTCTGCCATCTTTTAGACTGATATTTTCCTTAGGTTTCTCTTCACAGGATCAAAGTTATCCCTGAGAATGCATGCACCACGTATTTATTGGTTCAATAAGTAATGAACGTGTTTGGTTGCCTCCAAGGTACACAAATGTTGCTGCTTTGCAGAGTCTCAGTGAGGTCTCAGACAGGATTGTGCAGCGAGGCTACTCGAAAACTAGGGAAATCAGCGGAGTTATTCTCAATTCTAAAATGCCATCTGATCTGTGCTCTGTTGGGAAAGCTTCCTGCCATCCTTTGAAGTCTCAAATTAAGAAAATAAAGGCCATGTACTCCTACACCACTCACATCATACAAATTTTGGGAATTTATTGTGTCTCCCGCTGTGTAAATGGATTTGGAAAGTAACTCCCTCTTCACTAAAGCCAGAGTTTTATTGGTTTCACACACTTTGCTTTTGCTACACTTCTCTCCATCACAGGAGCAGGGAACACAAGAGCCTTAAACCATCAGCCAGTGTCATCAGGTCCCCGTCAGCCTTGGGTGTCTATGGCTGTGATGAGAATGTCATTACACCATCATGCCAAATAGTGCTCTTAATGGGCATTAAAGCAAGTAAATAAAAAAGGAGAAATTATTTTAAGCTTTTCAGAGTGTTAACTGCTTGTGCTCTCTTGAGGGAATTTGAGACTATAAATACTTTTTACAGGTCTTGTTCTTTTCTTACAATACTTGAGGATACTGTGCAATAAGCTTCCCTTTCTCCCCGAGCTGAATAAAACACTGAATCAAAAGAAGCAGCCTGCCCCATCCTCCCTCTCCGGCATGAGTTCATCTTCTGCACGTTGGGATTACAGCATCCTTTGCCAAACAAATGGTTTGGGTGAGGAAAACTATGCAGCAAATTATGGAGAATTCTGCATGTTTAACTGTTCAGGGAATTGTTACATGGTCAAGCGAAAAGCTTCCCTTCCCACTACCCAAGGAGCCTGATTGCCTCAAGTGTGGTGGGTGCCTGGGTGAGAGCTTAAGTCGGTTTTTGGCAAACCCCCCACTACCACCAGTAAACATGCCACTAACAGCTACAACTGCTGCGTGTGGCAGGTGCCTTTCCCAGCATTGCTTTTGCTGTGTTTATTGTGTTACACTGAAGCAAAACAGCATGTGGCTATTTGCCCTTGTTAGCTGATTATTTCACCACGTCTAAGGAGTACAAGGAAAAGCAACTCAGTAGTTCCAGGTGCGGATATTGTTGACAGGAGGCTCAGGCAAGGGGCAGGATGAGGGCAGCACTGTAGGAATCCCACACGGAGCTGAGCCCACCACCCTGCCCACTCTGAGGCAGTCACCTCCTTCAGCTGGATGCATTTTGACAGCACAGGAGTTAGTGAGCTCAGTACTATTGCCCTCTCCTGGGTATGTGGCCAGAGCAATTTGCACCATGAAATCCACACGCTGGAGATGTTAATCCCTGCCCAGAGGGACCCAATGGTGACCACATTCAATGCTGCCATCCCAGGTACTGAAAGCTGCTCCGAGAAACCTCTCCCGAGGTTGGGAAACACTGCTGGCTTATGCAGGGTGGGACTTTTCCCCGTGCCCTTCTCAGGCATTAGTCTTTCCCATACAACACTACCTCTGTTGTTTCAGTTCAAATATGAAACCACACCCAAGCCGCTTAAGTTATGACCTCTACAAGGTTCCTGGAAGTCCTTCAAAATGGTCTGCTTGTCATTCATGAACACGCAAAGGTGATAGCTGAGATGAAAAGCTACTGCTGCTTCTCTGGGCTGCTGGTGCTGCTGGAAGGAGCAAGTCTTTCTCTCAGGAATAAAAAGCCTATAGCCATCATCTTAAAATATAGTCTTTGAGGACAGTGGCCAATGGAACCCACCTGGAGCACCAAAGCTGCAAAGCCTATCAGGATTTGTTCATTGGCTTTGATGTATCTGCAGGTGTTTATTTAGCTGTAGTTTGCTACAGAAATTATTTATATTTATTTCTACATTACATAAGCCTTTTTCTTGGTTTTTATTTTATTTTTTCATTCTTCCAACTGTAGCTGAAGGCCCGAAAGCCTAAAATCAGTGCTGATGAGACATCTGAAGAGGCTGGAGGTTGCACACCCTCACCAACCCTCCTCTTTGTAGACATTGTTGAGGTGAGTGCAGATTTCATTGGTCACTTTCTCAAAGGAAGCTTTGCAGTCTCCACCAAATTTCTCCTCCATCACTTGCAAGATGATGTCACAGATAACCTAAACAAGGAGAAGGGAAGAAACAGCTAGTGTGAACTTTCCTCCATGTTAGAGGCATAAGTACAAAATACATATTTTTAGTTGGGATTCTTGGAGGGTGGAAAGGGATAGAAGAGCAATCTAGCAGCACATAGCATGCAGAGCATGGTAGAGGTCATGGTCCAACCTTTACCATTCTATGATTCTATGAAAATCAGGTGCATTATGGAATTCATCAAAACTGCAGTTGCTTTTGTTGTTTTTTAACTACCCTGTATCTAGTTAATGTTGACTGCAGCTGTTGGGTAAAGATGGCTGTACAGAATCAGTCCACTTGGTCCATCTGCTGCAGTCCTTCTTTTGGCAGTGGACTGTCCCCAAATGTTTTAAGGGCCACAAGAAGTCCCATGTTGAACACTTATGAAATACATGACCTGGGGGGGGGAAGGTAGGGGGAGAAGTTTCTTCCTAATCTTTCCTGCCCGTTAGCTATCTAGCACTCTGTAGCAATGAGGATTTGTTTGTCTTTACAGTTGCTAGTTAGGTGGTGTACTTTGAAATGTCAGCTTCTTTTCTGTGCAGCATGAATTATTTTGTGTGCATCTTTGAAAAAGCCTTTTCAGGATCTCTTCAGACAGAAAGTCTCACTTATTTTCCCATTTATCGAACATTTGGTCCACTGCTTTGGACACCACCTTTTTAACGCCTGAGTGACATTTGCCAGATGTGCCTCTTTTTTGTGTTTTGTGCTGTGTAAGACCAGCAAAATAGTTATAAATGCACTCTGCTAGTGACCTTAGGTGGACTTGGGCAAGTAATTTGATCCTGTGTTTACTATCTGTTTCTGTAGTGATGGCAAGGCTGTTGCCATTTTTGCTCAATAACAGCTTTTTAAGTTGTCCTAGAAAAGCTCAGTTCCTGTTACTAGAGAAAAATAGACATCAGGGACAGAAGTCCAGTGTTAAGCTGCTTTTCAATGTCTTGTTATTAAGTGACAAGTGTGGGAATCCTGTTGCACTGAGAAAACCCACTACAACTCATGGGCAGCTCTGCAGCTTCTCCCTGAGCAGACCTGACTGCATCGCACCTGCTGCATAGCCTTCCCAACAGATGACAGATGTCTCATTTCTGCTGTCTTCCACCATCAACTGCCTCACCTTCCACCATCTCCACTCTCTGAAGCATGCATATATGTATGTGTGTATGTATGTATATATGCAAAGCCTGTTTTCCTTAGCACTACCCCTCAAAGTGGAAGACATCCTCCCATCACAATTACACCCCCTGGGAAGAGGGCTGCTGGCTCACCCTAAAGTTTTTGGGGTCAATCTTCAGCTGGGTAGCATGTTTCTTGCCAAGTGGGGTCACTATCCCACAAAAAGCCTCGGAGTTGTCCAGGTGTTGCACCATGTCATTGATGGTAGTGAAAACCCTCTTGCCATGGCCTCTGATCTGATCCGACTGTTTCATCTCTTCAGCGGAGTCCATGCCTTTGAAGTGTGTGAAGTAGGACTTGGTGTCTGGGTGCTCGGTAAACATCCTGTTGAGCAATGAGAGACGTCCTAAGTTGTGGGCTGAGGCATCGATACAGACCTGGCTTCACATTCCAGGCCTTGTCTTATGCATTTATCACCCTTTTTCCTCCTCTTTATTAGAACAGATACCTCTTTCCTCTGTGTTTCTGGGTTTCCCTTTGACCTTCCTATCTGTGCACAGCCCCTGTGCCTACAACCACCTCTTCCCTCCCTCTCCCCTCTCCAGGGCACCTTCCTTTCTCACTCCACCTTAAAACCTACCTATCCTGAATTTATCCCACTGTTTCTAAAGTAAACATTTTCTCAGTGTTGACTCAGTGCTAGGTGGAGATAAAATCCACACAGAAGCAGGAGCATGTTCACACAGGGTGCATGTGACAGTGCAATATTCCCAAAGAAGTTCTGGACAGCAGGTATGTCCACTGTGCTCTGAGTGAGTGCTTTCATATAGAAACCCTATGATTGGTTTTGTTAATTAAGCCCTTCCTAGAGTCTATCCTAAAGCTTTTTTTACTGCCTGTGGTGGGTTGTTGTTTGAGTGCCAGGTACTGCTCATTTCGTTTATTCAGAAGTAACACAATTCAATGCCACTCCTAAAAGAACTGCCTTTTATAACACATCAACTGTGGTCATCTTGTTCAAGCTCTTAAAAAAGCAGTTTACTCTGTTGGGTAAACCAGTTATCCAGTTATTTTATTTCTATTGCCCACCTGCAATAGAAATAAAAACTTCCAGATTGCATATCACAGAGTCACAGAATGGTTGGGACAACAAAGGCACCTCTGGAGGTCATCTGGTCTAACCTCCGTGGTCAGGCTGGTTGTCCAGGACCACATCCCGATGGCTTTTGAGTATCTTCATGAATGGAGACTCTATAACCTCTCTAGACCTGTGCCAATGCTCAGTCACTCTCACAGCAGAAAAGTGTTTCCTGATGTACAGAGGGAACGTCCTGTGTATCAGTTTGTGCCCATTGCCTTTGGTCCTGTCCCTGGGCACCACTGACAAGAACCTGGCTTCATCCTTGCACCCTCCCTTCAGGCTTTTATACACATTGATAAGATCCCCCTGAGCCTTCTCTTCTCCAGGCTGAACAGTCCCAGCTCCCTCTGCTTTTCCTCCTGGGAGGGATGCTCCAGTCCCTTCTTCATCTTTGTGGCACTTCACTGTATTTTTTCCAATATGTCCATGTTTTTCTAGTCCTGGAAACTTCTCTAAAGGCAGGGCTGGGGTTGTAGGACACTAAGGCAAAACCTTGTAAACTACCCCAGGGAGCCAAGCTACTGGATGCTACTAAGAAATTTTTAGCTGCATTTCTGACCCTATCTGTCCTCAGATTGTGAGTCCTCAGAGTGTGGAAGAAAAGTACATAATACTTTTGGAGGCTTATCCAGGTACAGGTTGTGAAATACAAGAAGGCCAGAGGGAGTGGTGAAGGTGAGGTCACTAGGAATAGTATTTGGACACATAAGTGTGTATGGAGGTGATGCAAGTCCCAGCTGAGAGAGGGGTACGTGAAAAGTGAAAACTTCTGTCTTATGGAAGAAGAGAGGAAAACAGAGTGAAAACTTAAGAGAGGAAAGCCCAAAGGAAGGCTACCATACAATGAAACAGATGGGCTCTGGAATGGAAAGGCTGGAGGAGAATCAGAAGAGAAATAGTGCAGGCATTCAAGTAAAAAAAAAAAAAAAATCATTAAAAGAGTTCAGTGGGAAAGCAAAATAGGGAAATAGTGCCCATGTTTTGTTCCCATTCTCTTTCATACCATACTTTCTTTACCTTAAATGGGTGGAGTGAAGAAATTGTTCTTGTCTTTTCTTCCTTTCCCCCCCTCTTCTCCCTTTCCTTTTACTTTTATTTGTGTGGATCTCTCCTCTTCCCCGTTTCCTCCCTGAGGTGGGATAAACCGCAGCAAATCAAAATGTCCCCAGCAAGGACTGCATGAAAAACATTGAGACGTGCACCTAGGTGGTAACTCCAGCTTTCTTGCCATTCCTCCCTCAACCCTGTGCAGTGGCAGCAGGATGGTCTCTTTCCTTACCTGACCAGCACAGCTGTCCCGTTGTCCTCAGCATCTACATACATCTTCTCCCAGGCACTGCGGGCACTTTGTACCTCTGCTTCAGAGAATGACATGGTGGAGGAGACTTCAGCAATGTACAGCAAGAGGGAGAAGGACAGGGAGGTCCTGCTGAGGCAGTTCTGCTGTAATTCTCTCCTTAGGGCTCTCTAAATACTGCCCTGGGGATTGAAGAGATCTTGAATTGACTCTTTGTCTCCAATCCCCTCTGTCGAATTTCTGCAGGCTTTAGGGCTTCCTAATCACTTTTAATCAGGAAAGAAACCAGCCACATGAAGAGGGAGGACTAGCAATCTCATGGTGACAGCAGGTGCCAGACCAAAGATCTTGCCATCTGAGGAGAGAAGGGGAAAAGGGGAGCTTTCAGTGGGGAAGAAAAAGATTAGCTCTCCTACCCTCTCACCCAGTGCATGACCTCTTTCCTGAGGGTGATCCTTGCCCGAGCACTGACTCCTGGTTTGCTCCTGACCACACTGCTGTGCTGCAGCCACTGTGGTGCCCTGCTGTCCCCTATTCCCTGCACTCTTGGTTCTTCAGTCTAAAGACCCCATTTCACGGAATCATGCAATCATTCTGGTTTGAAAAGACCTATAAGATCATTGGGCCAACCATAACCTAATTCTACCGACCATTAACCTATATCTGCCAAGTCCAGTGCTTAAACCATGTTCCTGAGCACCACATCTATACATCTCTTAAGCACCTCCAGGGATGGTGATTCAGCCACCTCCCTTTCAGTGAAGAACTTTCTTCTCATATCTCATCTAAGCCTTCTCTGACACAACTTGGGCCCATTTCCTCTTGTCCTATCAGTTGTTAACTGGGAGAAGACACCAACACCCACCTTGTTACAACCTCCTTTCAAGTAGTTGTAGAGCTTGATAAGATCTCTCAGCCTCCTTTCTCTAGGCTAAACAACCCCAATTATTTCAGACACTCCTGATAAGACTTGTTCCCCAGATCTTCAGCAGCTTTGTTCCTTCTCTGAACTCCAACAGCACCTCAATGTCCTTCCTGTAGTCACAGACCCAAAACTGAACACAGTATTCACCAGTGCCAAGGACAGGGGGACAATCGCTTTCCTTGTCCTGCTGACCACATTATTCCTGAAGCCAGGATGCCATTGGCCTTCTTGGCCACCTGGGCACACTGCTGGGCACACTGCTGGCTCATATTCAGCTGGTGGCCAATCAACACTCCCAGGTCCTTCTCCTCTGGGCAGCTTTCCAGCCACTCTTCCCCAAGCCTGTAGCATTGCATGGGGTTGTGGCCTGAGTGCAGGACCTGACACTTGGCCTTGTTAAACCTCATACAGTTGGCTTTGGCCCATCAATCCAGCCTGTCCAGGTCCCTCTGGAGAGCCTTCCTGCCCTCAGTCAGATCAACACTCCCTGTTTCCAGCTCCAGCAACCCTCTCCAGTCCTGCTTTCATGCCACTGTCACTGCTTTCCCCACAGTCCTCTGGTTTAGCAGGGACTCACCCCATCACTGCTCCCAGTCTGGGTACTAGCCATATGAGCAGCTTCACCAGCCCAAAATAACAGCTTTGCAGAGATGGTGACAGCAGCATGGGCACAGCATCTATGGTCGCAGTGCTCTGGAAAGCCACCTGATGTTAACACAGGAGATAAATGGTGCAGGACAGCCAGGCCAAGAGCACAGGCATTTCCCTACCATACTCCTCCTGCCTCGCAGCTGGGATCTCTGTCCTATCTCTGAGCCCTGCCTGCCTGGGAGGGAGAAAGAGATAAGGGGCAAGAGATGGGCCAGTGCAGAGCTGCAGACCACACAAAAAATCTTGGATTATCCACACAGCATCTGGGCTTAACCTCTGGCGGGAATGTTCTGGTTAAGTCCAGGGCAAGCACAGGCAAAAAAAGGGCTAAGGGGCTTGAGGAACTGCTGCTGCTGCTGGATGCCAAGTGCAGACAAAACCTCATATTGTTTGGGATTGTTTAGAGAAGGAAAGGAACACATGTGAGGGGGAATTGTGCAGTATGGTGAGCAAAACTAGCCCAATATCCTGAACAGAGGGAAAGTGGTGGTTGCAAACTCACAGAGACCAATCAATCTTGGTGGGGTTGAGTCCTAACACTGCCAAGAGATGCCTTAAATGACTTCACCAAAACAACTTCCCCCCCTCTCCCTTTTTACCACAGAGGGAAAATAGATTGATTTATTAGATAGATTATAGGTGATAGATAGATAGATAGATAGATAGATAGATAGATAGATAGATAGATAGATAGATAGATAGATAGAAAGCTGCGCAGCCTTCTGCTTTCTGATCCCAAAATCCTCAGAAAAGTGTCCCCGATGTCAGGAGAGGCCGGCAGGAGTCATGATGTGCTGCTGGGACTGCTGCCTCTCTGGAGGGAAGCACAAACCAGGCAAGTGCTGGTTGGCCGAGCCCATCTGCCAGCACAGGGATGCAGAGGAAGGAGAGAGGATGGCACTGCAGGAATTGCTGGTTCCCAGGCTTTGGGAGCCAAAACTGCCTGGGGAAAGCGCTGAGTTTTTGATTGAGAAGCTGTGGGCGGCTTGGGAGGGCGTGAGCTCCTGAGGAAACTAGCCAAAGGGACTCAGGCAGGTCTGGAGCACGGAGGTTGAGCTGGTTTTGATTTGGGATGTGAATGTGCAGAGTTACTCACTTGCAACTTTTCCTCCTTTCTGTAGATGCCGTGTTGTCCTTGCAGATCCTGATGCACCCCGAGCTGCTGCGGGCACTTCCCAGTGGCAGGAGCTGGAGCGCGGTGCTGAGCCTGGATCCCTGGCCCCAGCTGTGGGAGCAGTGCACCCTGCTCAAGGACGAGTCTTTCCTCTTGGCTTTCACAGTCTTCTCCTCTCCATCTCCCTTGTTCACCTTTCGTTTCCCTCCTCTTTGGCTTTTGTTTGCAGCAGTTCACAAGCATCCCTGAGGGGCTTCCCTGCTCTCCCCCACCTCGCCTGGGATGTTGCACTACGCTGATTGACTCAACGTAGTGCCAGACATCCTGTCGTGGGCCAAAAAAATACCCATTTTGAATTGGGAAATTTCAATTAAATTAACTTATTGCAACGTAACGAACACTTAGGCACCTCTCTTTGCCCACATCTTGAAGCCCCCCATCCCCTCACCCCTGGTGCCGCATGTTACACCCAGGCCCTTGGTGAGACCACGGGCGGTTCAGGAGCTGGGGGTTGGTGCATGGGGGTCCCTTTGCTCTTCCTGTTCCTTGTATCCTATTCAACTTCTCCAGGATGGGCTCTTGCACTGGTTACTGTCCCTTTGGGTGCTGCACCTTCCCTGGCTTTGTGTTCCCTTTTTCAGCAGTCACTGTCCCTTCCTAAACATGTTTCCACAGCGGCACCATAAACTCGCCTGACTGGTCCAGTTTTGGGGTGCAATGGGCCAACTTTGCCTGCTGCCCAGCCAGCTGACAGCAGCACAGGGCAGTCCCCGACCTCCTCCTGCACAGACAAAACAATGACACCCTCAAGCATGTCACTGTGACATGCTATTCTTTCCTTTCACCTTCCACTGTTACTTTTGCTGTTTTGGAAGAATTATCCTCTTTTTTCCCCCTGCATGATTTCCCAAGTCCTTGTACGATGAACACAGTGATACACCGTAAAGTTTGACATTTTGAACAGGGTTATACACATCTATGCTACATCTCAGGGGTCTCTAGAAATTGAAACAAAAAAGCTCCAGAAGCCTATTTTTTTGTCTTTGAAATGTAATGGCTGTGAAAAATGTGATGTTTAATTGCAAAGTCGTCATGCTGCTGCTGACCCTCACCCCGGGGGACACACAGGGTGGGTGCTTTGTTTCTTTCCTTTTCCTCTCTCATGGTTTGTTTTGTTTAATATCCTGTAGGAAGGAAATGCTTTTCAGTGTAGTTTCTGATGAGTGGGGAGAAATATTTTCCAACAGGGGTGCTGGGCAGCCCTGCAGAGATGGGACCTGAGCTCAGCAGGCAGGGCCAGGCTGGGGGGGCAGCAGGCACAGGGGAATGCCAAGCCTTGCTGTTCTATGTCGGGCTGTGTATGGCAGCCAAGTTTTCTGTCTTCTGTTGTTGTCCTTGGGAGAAGCAGAGGACGTGTGTCCCACTGCAGGGCAGGGAGAGGGCAGCAGTTGTGTCTAGTGGGGTGTGTTTCCTTCCTGTTTCTGAGAAGCCACGTGCTTCAGGTGAAGGGCAGCTGGCAAGCTCCACCGACAGGAATGGATGGCATCCTCCCCCTGCCCATCCATTCAGGATCCAGCAGCAAGGACTGACTGCAGAGCTCCTTGATGCCCCCCTTGCAGGCACTGCAAAGCTGCCCATGTCTTCTTCCCCATGAAAGTCTGTGATCTGTTATTTAAGTGTAATATTTGATATAAATAAATCACCCTATTTATTATGCAACAGGGGTTAATCCCCAGCTCAGCAGACATACTTCTTGTAGAAGATGGCTGCACAGGGCTTGACAGCTATAACTCTTATTTTCCCAACACCCCCCATACTGTCAAACTGAGGTTCTAGCCCCCCATAGCATGTGTCGCCAGGTTTTTCTGATGCTTAACTTGAGATGCTGACACACAGTGCTGCTTTTACAGAGATGACAAACACTCAGATTCTGAGGTTATCAAATTACCAGCTCATCAAAACAAGCAAAACTAGGAGCTGCAATCACGACTGTTGTGTCAATGTCTGAATGCCAAAGCCCATGTAGCACATAGGTGGGAAAGACATAGGGCAGACACATCAGCTTTCCCAGCTGCCACACAACCACACTTCACAGAATCATAGAATGGGACCTGAAAGATCTAACTCACCTGCCATGGGCAAGGACACCTTCCACTAGACCAGGTTGCTCAAAATTCTATCCAATCTCGCCTCAAACTTTTCTCATTCAGAGAGGTTGGCTCAGTTGGAGCTGTGTTGCACTTTGGACTGGTGAAAACTGTCCAATTTTTAAGATCTTTTACTATTTACAATAAATCTTGGGTTTGTGCATAAATGTCTTGTCTGCTATCTTGTCCCATACAGGACAAGAACTGAGTCCAAAGAGTAAAAAAAATGCAGGAGAAGTCAACTTCTTGGGACTTAGCCAATTAGGACAGCCCTCACATAGTCAACAGGGAAGTTGATAGAAATGTACAAAGACAATAGAAATGTACAAAGGTTTCTGTTGTGAATACTTTTATTGTGCATATATAGGGCGTAGTATATATACAGATTAAACCTTTGACTGCTGTTTTAATGATTGACAGTATTATGTACATAGCTACCAGAGATTATAACACAGTGATTACAGGTAATAAAGATGCCAGTGCTGAGTTTTCATGCAGTGTAACCTACTAACCAAGTATTTGCATTGAGATGGGCTAGTGTGCAGCAGAGAAACTCTACAACCTCAGTGAAGGGGAAAAAAAAACAAACAACAAACCACAAAAAAACCCTAACAAGTGATGCAAAGGTAATCACCACATCTCACCACCAGACTGATGCCACAGAAAGTCTCCAAGCAATAGCTACGTTGGAGAAATTCCCACCAATTGTATTGCTAGGCATGAGTTTACAGGGGACAGAACAACCCCTTGGTCAGGTGGGGTCAGCTGTGCCAGCTGTGTCCTCTCCCAGCCCATTGCTCCCCCCTGCCACCCTCCAGGCAGCCCTGCTGCTGTGCAAGCACTGTTGGAGTATTGCTAAAACACTGGTGTGCTATCAGTTGTCTTTTGGTCATGAACTACACTGCAGCATAAGGGTGGCTGTGAAGACAGTTAACCTGGCCCAGCCAGACCCAGTACACCATAGGATCACACCCTTGGGCAAGTTTGGGAGCATGCAGGCCACGCTGTGCTGAACTTGTGCACAGGTGCTGTAAGCAGGAGGCAAAGAAATGAGCTTTTGGGAACATGGAAAATATCAAGCCCAAGTCAGAGAGGTGCAGAGTAACCACAGCTGGGCAGAAGGGCTCAGGCAACAGCACAAGCACTGGGTCTGTAACCTTACAATCTGGCAATCGTATCAGCCCAGTTAATGAGATCAAACCACCTAATGGTTTAATGGAAGTGACAGCCCTACACATTTTGTAGCCCCTAGACTATATTGAGATGCTGCTTCACAGTGTATCTTGATTTGTTTTAATTACACACAATCTACACAAGTGATGTTCTAAAGACAACTCAAATCCATTGAATGCCACCCTTGGCAGAGTTAAACCTAGACTCCAGATAAAGAGACCTGATTTCAGAGGAAGAAAGGATGTAGCTGAGAGAATCACAGAATTACCTTGGTTGGAAAAGACCTTAAAGATCAACTGTTAATCTAACACTGACAAAATAAATCATATCCCTAAGTACTATAAAACTCTTAAAGAAATAGCTGTGGGCTGGAATACGTGGAAGTTAGACACCAGTCCACAAGCTATGTATCTAAACACAAGAAGGGTACAGATTATCACATTGGTGGTAGGGACTATTGTGTTCAGAGATACAACAGGGCTAAGCTAGAAGGGCAAGAGATAAAGCAGCAGGCAAACCTGCTGCCAGACACCACTGAAACAAAGATGTTTGACTGAAAGGCTGGTTGGTGAGGAATGGAAGGAACCAGAGAATCACACTAGCAAACTGTTTACCTGTGGGAGCAGAAAGCTGGATGATGGACTTTGTGGTCCATTTGCTTTCACTATTGTAGTAGTTATTGCCTCCCACTACAGCAATGCTCTCCCTTGAGTTACAGTCTCTGATGTACTGAGCATTTACACAGCTAAAAAATCTATTACAACTTCCCGACTTTGTTTGGAAGTAACATCAGTACATGTGGCTTTAAATTCAGTGAGCCCAAACTTAACACACATCTTCAGATGGCGTTTCCTCCCCAGCTTTGTGTCTGGCATTGGCACTGTACAGGAGCCAAGCAATTCCATCCCTTCCTCATCTATGTACTGAGCGTCCTGCTTTTCTGTACAGTAGAAAGAAAAAAGTGCTGCTGTCTGATCTGGTTCTATTGGATAGAAAGTATAGGAGGAGACTTTATTTATATCCACTGACTCCTCAATTCCCACCAACTTCTGGAAGAGATCTGTGCGATAAACATAGCCATCAGCTTTTGACACCCTTCATTTACGGGGGTCATGGATAGTAGGATCAAAATTTTCAGCTACTCTTACACCGTACGTCCGAGCGCTGACTCGGGAGGTAACAATGTTGGGATTGACACCAAATAAAACAGCCCCTTTTGCAATGGCTGCTTGGGCCTCCAGTGGGCAAAGGATATGGTGCTTCTTGCCAAAGGCCTCGCTGATTGCATCTCTCAAGATGATGCTAGATGCAAAGCCTCCCACAAGCAGAATGTACTGGACTTTAGTCATCTCGGGCTTGCCAAGAATTTCCCTCAAAGTACAAATGATATTTTTGATACTGTAGTCAAAAAAGCTCTTCATTTTCTCATAGGTAATCTTGATCATCCCATCACACCACTCAACACCTTTTGCTTTTTTGAAGAAGTGGGAGATTTCCTTCTTGCACTCTGCCATCCTGGTCAAGTTGTAGTAGCAACGTAGGTACACTGCCTCCCTGCTAGAAGAGCATTTCTGCAGACCAAAGTTGTACATCATATTTTGTAATTCAGTAGGGTGTTTCTTTACATATTCATCCCACACGCCATCACTGAATATCTCCTTGAGCAAATCAATGAAGTTTTCATCCACTCTGTTGCCTCCCCACCCACCTCCAGTTGCCTTGTGCAACTCCTTCAGGTAACGGTTTTCTTGAATCTCATGCACCGTGATGTCTATTGTGCCACCTACACACATACAAAAACACTAATGAGGTTTGCTCTTTTCTTTAAAGTACATGAGGTCCTTACTTTCCACTGAATATAATCCTACTTTCTGAATTCCTGGTTCCCAAGTGCATTTTCCTGCTGCTTTCTTTTCTCATCCTCACTCTTCTGCTATTGCCTGCACAGCTTTAGATTTCCTAAGCTTCACGTTTCTGTTTACAAGGCTGATTCCTCAAGGCTCCCACAGTAATTGCTGAGGAGAGCTGCAGGCTCTGACTCCCTGCACAAGCCCATCTCCTTTGTGATCACAAAAGGAGACTGGCCTCCTCATGTAGATAATTGACTCCTGCCTTTTGCTACAGAAGCTCTGAGTTAAGATGAGCAGCAGGGGTGAGACTCTCAGGAAGTTGTGGTCCTGTTGATGACTTTTCGGTATTTGTTCACAATTACCAGGCTGCTCTTGGCAGGAAATTCATATTACACTGAAAAATCTTGCACAGGAAATTAGAGAAATTACTGAGTGCTCCATCAAATGTCCTTAATGATTTACTCTACAGCAGACTTACTCTATTAGCTCAGCTTTTTGGTCAGTTCACTGGGCACTATGCCTGCTCCTACAGAGCAGGCTGTGAGCTCTGGCTCTACCACAGCAGATGGATGCATATCAGTGCTTGATGCTGGGACACAGTGCAGACTGATCCATCCTTTCCTCTAATTTTTCTGCCATTAATCTCATTAGGTGAGAAATAAAAATAAAAAACCCATGACAAGAAAGCAGTGGAGTCCAAGCTCCAAGCACTGCCATTCTTTGGGGTTCACTGTGTGAGACACTGCGGAACAGGCATGCTCTGAGCCCAGCAAAGATGGTACCTGATAAGCAAGGGAAATTTTACCTCCACAGTCAACAACAATATATTGGACCCCAGGGGAGTCTTCAAACTTCTTCTTGTCACTGCTGTCTGCCATAAACCCTTCCTGTGGAAGCTGTTTGCACCAGAGTGATGCAGCCTCTGGCTCCAGGGCAATAATCAGCTTCTCAGAAAGCATATTAGAGATGAGTCCTGCCTAAAACCACAAGGGAGAAGTGTCAGTTCAAGAAAAGGTGCTGTGATCACTGCTGTATGAATGCTACCTGCTAGGGAGGCTGTTCTCACCCCAGGAGACCATGCTGGGGTGGTGGTTCTTGCAGTGTTGATCATCTTCCAAGCTCTCTGGTTGCACCTGTACTTCTCTGTGTGGCATTGACAATACATGCTGGACAAACACGTCCACGTGACACTTTCTATGGAGATTCAGAAATTATCAATGTGTCTGGGAAATGGCGGACCTCTTTCTTGTCACTGAACCTTTCTAATGTTTGCTCAGAGAGGCATTTCATTCTTGGAGATACTCAAAAGCTGGCAGAACAATAGTCCTGAGCAACCAGCTCTAGGTGGCCCTGCTTGGGCATGAGGGTCGGAGCAGGTTCTTTCCAACCTGAACTGTTCTGTGATCTTGTAATGAAATTTCCTTTAATCATTTGCTCCTTGGGTGCAGTGAAATGGGGTTTGTTGTTGTTTAACCCAGCAGGGAGCTAAATACTACACAGCTGTTGGCTCACTCCTGCCCTGCAGTGGGACAGGGGAGAGAATCAGAAAAAAAATTGTAAAACTCCTGGTTAAGACAAAGATTGTTTAATGGGACAGAAAAGGAAGGGTAAATAATGATAAAAGACTATACAAAACAAGTGATGCACAAGGCAATTGCCCAGCACCCACTCACCAACACCCAACCAGTCCCCAAGCAGCACACACGGGCCCCCCATGCAACTCCCCTTAGTTTTATTGTTCAGCATGTCATCATATGGAATATGTCTGTGGCCAGTTTGAGTCATCTGTCCTGGCTTTGTCCCCTTCCAGCTTCTTGTGCACCCCCCCAGCCTCCTTGCTGGCAAGGCATGAGAAGCTGAAAAGTCCTTGACTTAACATAAGCACCAGGTGGCAACAACTAAAACATCAGTGTGTTTTCAACATTCTTCTCATCCTAAATCCAAAATACAGTATTATACCAGCTACTAGGAGATAAATGTAACTATCCCTGCCAAAACCAGAGTACCCTGCTTGAGCAGGGGGGTTGGAGCAGATGACCTACAGAGGTCCCTTCCAACCTCAACTGAGCTGTGATGCTGCAATGAAATGTCTCTTAACCATTTGATCCTTGGGTGCAAAGAAATGGGACTGACCTAATACCCCTCTCCAAAAGTGAGTGAGAACCCAGCACTCCACAGGTGACACTGTGGCAAACCACACCATTCCCAGCTTTCATAGAAGTCTTCACAGAGACCTCCCACCCACCACCGCATCCCGTTCAACACTGGGGAATGACAAAGAGCAGACAGAAGACTTTATCTAGGGCTTGCCCTGTGCTTTGGGTTATTCCACGCTTTGGGAAGCCCTGTGGAACCTCAGAGCACAGACAAGAAGGCTCTAAGCTATCCTAATGTTTGGCTAAACGAGCAAACCCAGGAAAAGCTGTGAATAATTCGGAACTAGCACAAAGCCTTCAAAAAGAAATACTAGCTACTACAGGCTTGAAGGAGAGCTAGCCACCCTTAAAGTGGCTTCAGCATACCCTTTCAGGGGAGGGAGAGACAAGCTAGAAGGGGGTATGTAACATGGGAGGAACCCTTACAGTGATCCCAAGGTTGCCCATCTCATTCAAATTACAAGTATGTTCACTTGTTGAGGACTGAGGCAGGGAGCCCCAGAGGGAGGTTAATTTCTCTGCCAAGCTCTGGAGCAGGGCAGCTTTTTGTTAAGAACAAGTATTTGGCATCACCAAGGTGTGCAGTCAGGTTTTATTGTCTTTAGACAATGAACAACATCATAAAGGAAGGGCTTCTGAAGCCTTTGACTAATTAACAAAATAAAGAATTTTTTTCTTGCCCAGGGAAGTGGTGGAGTCACCATCCCTGGATGCATTTAAAACACCTGCACTCAGAAGACCTCAACTGTTCCACTTACTGTGTTGTACAGCTTCATCTTGAAGTTCTGGAAGAAGTACCAGCTGTCAGCTTCACTGGAGGGCAGGCTCTTGTACTTCATCACAGCATCGTAGCCAAACTTCCTGAACACCTTGTTCTGGTTGAACAAGATGCTGGTGGGAGTCTCCACGGTCTTCAGCCCATGCTCCATTCCCCAAAACACCTGGCGGATCTGGTCTGTACCTGAAGCAAGGAAAAAGCAGTAGCCACTGTAAGACGTGCCAAAATCTATAGCAACGACAAAGAGCGACTTGGTGGCCATGGCTGAGAGACGCGCCGAGACAGGCAGCCCTGAGAGCTGCGGGGGATGGAACAAACAGGACTGGGAGGAAACTGAAACTGCTCTGGCTCCTGTGGCAGAGCGAAGCGACTCCTCTGAACTTTGGTAGCTGCAGAGTAGTGCAAAGAAAGCATGTCCCCTTTTCCAGTAAAAAGGAGGGGCTTGTTTCTGTTATTTATAGCAGAAAAGACCTGCTGGGAAAGCGAGGAAGTGCCAGACACAGCCGCTTCTCGAGCTCCCAGCAGCACAGTCCCCTGTGCTGCCACTCATCTCACCAAACATTTTCTGCTGCCATAAACCCATGGGTACCCCCGAGGGTTGCCCCTGCAGCGGGATGGTGTTTGGAGGACAGGACACTGACCCTAAAGAGATGACTACAAAAGGCAGCAGGTATGTTGGACTGGCGGTTGTCCATGGCTAACCTTTCCATGTTTAACCTTAGTAGGTGTGAATGTTTCTGCAAAGCCCCTGGGCAGGTGACTGCAAGGGTCTGCAAGTATTTCCTGACTCTGAACTTTTTCAGTAAAAGCTCTGTTTTGAGCTTCCTATCCTTCCTGTCCACCACAGGGACAGGTAATTTCCTCAAATTCAGCTCAAGGGGTGAGACAGATTGTAAATGAATCTGAGAAGAAGAGAAATTGGAAAGAAAAGCATAAAAAGTGTAACTGATCCTGAGCTTTGGGAAGTCGGTCTCTGAGCTTATCAGTTTTATAGGAAAGACTGACTTAAATGCAGATGTTATGCTGGATTGTTTAGCTTAAAGAAAGGAAAAGTTACCTCAGAGGAAGAGTGGAAATTATTTAACTGAGAAGGAAGCAATCCAAGTAAGTAAGCAAAGGCAAAGCTTGTGTCAGCAGGAGAGGAGAGAGTGAGGTACTCGGGAAGGGGGGCAGGACAGTCACTTGCAGCCACCGTGCAGACCTGGATCAGTGTAAACTGCTGGTGAAGCCTCATGCTTCTGACATTCTCTGAAGCTGCCTTTCTGCAGGACGGAGCTTGCTGTCTGCTTCACCTGTATCCAAGCTGCAGGAGCACCTCAGCCTGGGATTCTTTCTGCAGCAATAGCTGATGTTTGGAATCTTCAGTAGGAAAAAGGGCACAGATAAGTTGTAGGAATTAAAGTTACCTTGAGAACATAGAGTTCTTCTCTATCAAAAAAACTCCACGCCCATATATTGCAAAGTTGATTTCAGCAGAATAGCCACCTGCATTTGCTGTTCTTCACACTCTGGGGGTCTGGGTTAATTTTTTGGGAATTGTCTCTGTATCCTGTCCACTTCATCCAGCCGTAATGATTACTCTACATCTATTTCTTGCAAACCCTGGCCTGTGCCATCCTCTGAACTGTGCCAGGCATCATCCTGGAAAGTGCTAGCTGACTTGTGCCAAAAACTGCGTCCAGGAGTGTGCTGGCCCATCATGTACCCTAGAGCCTGTACCCAGGCTCTGATCTGTTTGCCAGCATGGATGTAGCCATGGAGCCTCTGCTCACGGGCTGTCTTTTATAAGGTACCTGTTTAAAGTATGTGATTTGTTTCCCTTCATTTTAATAATTCAACTTTTTTTTTTTTTTTTCTTCAGACAAACAAATATCACATGCCAACCATCAGTCTACAGACACAGCACTTCAGGGCTGGAGGCAGCATGTCATATTCCAAAAGAATGGATGGGGCTAGTGGAAAAAGACATAACGTGAGTCTGGTGACCAGAAATTACAGTATTTAGTGTGGCCCCTGATGATCAGCTGTAGCTGGTGCGTGCTAGGACAGGTCAGAGAGATTACCAAGAAGCCAAACACAAGGAGGGCTCTGAGTTAGCATCAAGTTTTGTCTGGCCTGTAGTGGGAACCCAAATTCAATTTACAGAAGCTGTTTGATCTGCACCAGAGAACACACAGGTCTTACACTTTGGGAGTATTTTATTTGCACTATTGGTACTGACTCGTAGAATCCCAAACCACGCACCTATCAAAGCACAACCTTGGGAAGTTTTGGTCTCCAGATTTTTTTTTTCCCCTATGGGCTGATCAGGGATTGGAGGGAGGTAGTTTATGTTGTGCATTTCTTGGGACTTAACTGGATACTTGCCTACTGACTGTAATGTGGTTTATTATTTCTTCCCCTGATAGGGAGATTAAAGAAACGTTAAGAAATATGGTTGTCTGTGTTGAGGCTCTACCACAAGCTCTGCAGTGTTGCCACTGGTAATGTAATTCTTATATACATTCTTATATGCATTCTATATACATTCTTAAGAGGGTATATAGGAGGGGAAAATCATTAATGTTTCTGCAACTGCCACTGAAACACACTCAGGCCTCGGTTATCACAGCTCTGTCCTGCAGGACAGTCTGAATTTTCATTCTTCTGTTTGACTGCATTGTCACAACCATGCATGAGCTGCCTCCGAACAGGTTTGTCCTGGAGTTCACATCAGGGTACGTGACCTGGACACACGTCATGTTGTGAGATGAACTTTCATTTCCATTCAAATACTTCTCTGAATATGTAACGACTGCCTTAACAACAGCAGCCCTCAATACAAAGGCACCCAGCCTGATTTAGAAAGGGGAGGCTGTAAAAACAGATCTGAGGATGGTTTCAGTAGAGTTGCAGAAGCAGTCCTGGGTTTTTGTAGTGAAAACTGCCCTCCTATGAGATAAGGAAGTACTGAGGGAAGACATAGTGGAGGGAATACTGACAAGAAGGAGGGAAACTGTTAATCAGGAGGAGAGAAAAGGAAATAATAGTCTAATGGATGGCACTCTGGGATAAAATGCAAACATAAAGAAATCATTCTCAGTGACTAAGGCCAGGAGTGAATAAACTTCAAATAGTAGTGCTGGATGTCCAGACCCTTCCTGAGCAGCTTTGTCGAGAAGAGCCTTTCCTGTTGGGATTTCCATGAAGACAGACTGTGAGACAGGCACCTCTGCTGTGAAGACAGGCTGAGAGAGTTGGGGCTATTCAGCCTGGTGAGGAGAAGGCTCCAGGGAGACCTTCCAGTACCTGAAGGGGCTACAGGAAAGCTGGGGAGGGGCTTTTCACCACAAAGGGTAACAATAGGACAAGGGTAATAGTTTTAAACTGAAAGAGGGGAGATTTAGATTAGACATCAGGAAGAAATTATTCACCATAAGGGTGGTAAGGCACTGGAAAAGGGTTGTCTAGGGAGACTGTGGAAGCCCCCTCCCCTGGAGGTGTTCAAGGCCAGGTTGGATGAGGCCTTGTGTAGCCTGATCTAGCGTGAGGTGTCCCTTCTCATAGCAGGGAAGTTGGAACCTGATGATCTTTAAGGTCTCTTCTGACCTTAACCATTCTATGATTCTATTATTTTAGCTTCTGATCACAGCTGGAGTATCTGCAGGGTCATGAAGAGTTTGCAGGTGTGCAATCATGAGCAGCTGGGTAGTGAAGGAATACTCAGACTTTCTGAAACCTTGGAGTTTTCTGCTGGAGTGGCTCAAGTTTGCAACTTGGGCTGATGTAAGGCAAAGGTTTCCAGACAGTGGACCTAGACTCAAATGATCACCAAGCTCAGACACTTGTGTCCTTGAGTTTGTTAGTTAATTACATCAGGCTGTCAGGATCCAGATCACACCTCCCAAATTCAGGTCCTCCTTGTTTTTTTCCCAGGTCTGTCTAATTAACATAGATTTTTTTCCCTATCTAGCAAACATGCTGCATGTGGTTATTGTGAGATGCAGGTGACCAGAAACCCTAACCATCCTTGCCAGGAGGGATATAGGAGCTATCAGGGGTGAGTACTGGGTTTTTATCAATTTTCTCTTCTCAATATTGTCCTTTCACCCACGGCCAGTCATATTCCTCCACTATGCATAATACACCTTCCACCTCCAAGGCTAGACAAGCTTTGAACATAGCCTATCTGTGTTTGGTAACAAAGGTTACCACGACAAAGGAGAAACTTGTGGGGTAATTCACAAAATCAGAATATTTATATAAGATGGCCTGGCTTACTCTGAAAGGAGGGGAAAGAAACATTGGGGCTTTCAGGGGATGTTGTTAATCTTCCCTGAAGTTTTTCCTGGGTGCTTTGCACTTTCCCACCTCACAGGTATTTTGCTGGAATTCAGACTATTTAGTAGAGGCAAGTCCACTGTTACTCCACTGTCCAAGTACCAATAAAGAATCCTCAGAAAAGAAATCTGTTTCAGATAAATTCCTGGACAGGCCACCCAGAAAGAGCTTCAGCAGG